TGTTACCCGAATTTTTCCTTATTTTTAATCTAACCGCGAGACGCTCTACGATTAAATCTGACCTCTTGAACAGTCTAGGAAACGCTTCCTAAATTTAATTCAATTAGTCGTTTTACGATTTAGAAAAATATGCTAGACTAAGTAGCGAAATTTTCATTCACTTAATTAGGTTGTGTTATCCCCGGTAGTTACCATCTTCCGGTAGCCTCTAATTGATTAAACACATCAACAATTACGGATTGACAGTTTGAATCTAGCAGTAGATATGAAAAGCCTAATCTAGGTGATCAAGCTAAACAAGACTCAACAAATCAGGGTTAATTATTCAAAATAACACAAACAATCCAAAAGATATTGAAATAATCAACCAAGAGAATTAATCAAACATTCATCGAGATTCAACTTCCCCGGAACTAGAATAAAAGAACTACTCACTAGTCATAATATTCAAAAACATGTTCATGAAATTAATTACACCAAGAAAGAAAAGAAAAAGAAAAGAAAAGAAATAATTTTTTTCTCTGTTCCAATGCTTTATGTTGCTTTTACTTGCGATCTCCTTTTCGCCTTCTTAATTCCCAGCCGCCAAAAGAAAAAAATTCCTTTCAATAATAGGTCTCAGCTGCAATATAGGTCTCCAAGAAAGATTTTTATTCCCCCAGGCCACGTCACTCCTTTGTTGAGAATAAGTGGACCCTTTTTTTTCAAGTCCTCAGCCCAAATACATGTCCACTTAACCCATTCGTCCACTTAAATAAATTCAGCCCCAAATTAATTAATTGCAGCAGGAGTACTGGGGGCTGAAACGAAGTACTGAGTACCCCAGTACTAAATCAAAATTTGTCGAGCTCACGTCTTGCATTCAACGTCGTCACTTGCTAAGAATAATCTCAAAACTCTGAAAACACTCAAGAAACTCATCAAGGCACCACAATTGATCATAATACTAAATAATTCGAAAATCATATAAATGCGTGAAAATAAACGTGCACTATTACAAAATTAAACGATTAAAGCGTGCACGTTTTTCGACTTATCATTTCAAATTTAAATTTGAATATTAAAATCTTATCATTTTGTTACATTAAAATATGGAATGAATTGTTTGCCATAAAATTGGACAAAATAATAATTACATAGAATTCAAGTAAAAACATGTCTCATTTGAAATTTAAATTTTAAAATTCCTTATGATTTTGTTACATTTCTGAAATTTGCTTCCAATAACATCGGACAAAATTAATAATTGCATAGAATTCAAGTATGATTTAGAATTTATATCATGGATATTTAATAATTGCATAGAATTTCAACGATGTATATTATTATAAGAAAATTAAATTCTAAAAAAAAACATTTGTATATATTTTGTAAAAATATTTGTACAAAATGTTTTACTTTAAATTTATTTACATAATTTAAATTATTAATTTTAATAAATAATATTAACATACATTAAATATTTTAATTACATAAAACAAAAGGAAGAGGAAGAAGACTACATTTATAACTTATATAAATAATAATAATAATGAAATAATATTGCAATAAATTTTATAATAAAATAATATGAGTATTATACTAGGAACAAAATTACGTAAAATTGTTATTTTTTATATCAAGGAATATATATATATATATATATATTGAAATCAAATTTATACTATTATAAATATGTGAGCGAGATAATATATTAATTAATTTACGGGCTAGCGCTACCAGACCCAGGTTTAATGTCCCGACACAAAAAATGACGTTGATGAAAAGAGGTAAAAAAAAATAGATGATCAAACTCTATTATTTTTAGGCGTGAACGGACAAGTCCTATGGTCCACTCATTTAATATCTCTTGTGAATCGCACGAACTACTTAATGCACAAACTCTGTGGAAATGACTCATTTAATACGTTTGTCTCGTGCATCGCACGGGCTACGTACTGGTTATATTGAATGAGTAGATAATGAGTCCATATATGTGTTTAAATGGATAGATATAAATGTGAGTGTGTGTTTAAATAGAGAGAGATTTAATAAATAGATGATGTGGAAATCACGAGAGAAAGTTATAATTTTTTTGATTGAATACCCTAATGAATGTGGATATTTTGGCGGGCATCAATCATGTTCGAGCGCAAATCGAGGGCTCGCTTTTTGGAGAAAAGATATCCCAAATCCCAATCAGAAAAATCCTGAAAAAACCCGCCATAAGTTCTCACACCATTTCCGAAGAAAAAAAAAAAGCTCCATTTTCAGAATGTCGGACGTACCTCCGGAAATCATCACCGCCATCCTCAGCCGTCTCCCAGTGAAATCTCTTCTGCGTTTTCGCGGTGTCTCCAAGCCATGGCGCGCTCTGATCGACGGCCGCGATTTCATCAAACTCCATCTTCGCCTCTCAGCCGAGACCAACTCCAATCGCACCCTCATAGTGCGATCGAACGAGCTTTTCTGGGTAGATCTGGACTCTTTCAAGCTATTAGACGCCGGAAACATCCGATTCAAGCCTCGGAACGCCCTCTGCTCCTGCAACGGCCTGGTCCTCCTCGTGTCACACTCCGACGAGGTCGCCCTCTGGAATCCCTCCACGAGAAAACTCAACAAACTGCCGCCGCCGCCCGTGTTCAGTCATTTTGCAGCCCAATACGCCCTGGGCTACGACTCAAAGCATGATGACTACAAAGTCGTACGGGTGGTCCCGGATTACGAGTGGCGGGAAGATGAGGAGGATGATGAGTTATCTGATACCAGTATTTACAGCGTCAATTCGAATTCCTGGAAGAAAGTCGATGGATTCCCCTATGGGATGGATCCTTTCTGTTCATGGGGCGTTTGTCTGAATGATGCACTGCACAAGGGCTTTCGACCCTTGCACTCCCCCTTTCCCGTGATAATGGCGTTTGATCTAGCTAAAGAAGAACCTTATGAAGTCCCAAAGCCGGAGTTCAGCGGCATGGTGTCGGTGGAGGTGCTGGGAGGGTGCCTGGCGGCAGTTGTCTCTGGGAAGATGAACACTAGCGAGATTTGGGTGATGAAGGAGTACGGGGTGAAGGAGTCCTGGGTCAAACTACTCTGCTTTGATCCGCCTGTTGCCCAGCCTTGCCGGAATCTGTACCCAGTGGCTTATTCAAAGGACGGTGATAAGGTTCTGTTAAATTACGAAGGATTTTGTCTCAATTGGTTTGATCTGAAGACAGGAGCCGTTACGATTGCTTGTGTCGATGGTTTGAGTGCTTCTTTCGGTGCTTCGGCTGATGACCCTGTGATTGATGCTTGGGAGTGTGTGAGGAGCCTTGTTTCGCCTTTTGGTCCTGGTGGAGTTGGGAGTGGAAAGAAGAACGGTGTGCAGGGCAAGAAGGGGAAAGAGATCAAAAGGAAGAGGTTAAGTGTTTATGTTTGGCTAATTTATCCTTATCATTTGTTTGGCTTTCATTTCTGTGGTAAGTTGTTATGGTTTTTGTTTGCTTCTGTTTAAGGTTTGCTAACACTTGCCTTGTATCTGCATTGATAGTCCCTGAGATGATCTAGCTCATGCAGCTTTATTTTGCTAATTTGTACTGTCAGTTTTAGGCTACCTTGGGTGAGTTCAAATGGTTTGTTTCCTGATGTTTTTACAGGGATGATTTTCTATCGACTGGATTCAAGCTAGTGCTCTGAAGGGTTGCTGCGTTTTATTCGGTCTCGTACTTATGTATCAAGCTCTGTCCCTTCTTTGGGTTTTGGCTCGCATATATCAAGTTCCTTCTGCCCTGCTTTTGATTTTGGCTATTATATATCTAGTTTCGTCCTGCTTTTGATTCCAGAACGTATATATCAAATTCTATCCTGGTTTTGGTTTCGGCTTGTACGTTACTCTTGTCATGGTAGCTGAACTAGCTTCGTGTTGTTAGTTTTTTTTGCTCCTGAATTTGCTTGGTAGCTAATTTGTTATGCATGCATATGACTTGATATGGATTATGCGTGTAATTTTCTAGACATGGAACCCCATGACATGATTTTCATGCGAACTTATGGACTGTATCTAATTTGGCGTTGCTAGGTCCTGGGGGCTTTTGCTATATTAGGTGTTCATTTGTGCGGTTCCGTATGATTGCTCGTTAATTTGTGAAGATGCGGTTATATTGTGTCTTTTATTTTACTATTTCTGTCTTTTGTATATTTAGCTTGCTAGGCTTTTGTACAGCTCAAATCTTCTCTTTGAAGTTGTTGGTTTGGATGGTGTTTTGTGATTACTAGTAGAACTGTGCTGAGTTTCATTTTACCTTTGCTAAGCTTGTAAAGCCAAGGCTGTTAATCCCCCCTTTGGGTTAAAAAAACTTGTGAATAATGTCAAAACTTAAATGGAGTTCTACTTATTACATGCTTTGTTTTGCATAGTGTGTAAAGCGAAACAAGGTACTGGTCTGTTCAGCAACTAGACTCATTTAACAAATAAGTTGACTTCAAGTTCATTTTAGTTAACTAGTCAAACTAGGTTCACATTTGAGAGAGTTTTTACATAATTTTTTGAAATCTTAGTTTAGCCCGGCTCATTTAAATTGAAGTTCGGCTCTTCAGTTTTGATTTGAGTTGGGTTTGAAATTGTTTATCGGCTAGTTTAGTCAACTAATCAAGTTCGATGAAAAAAAATAAATGTTCATTTTTAAATATGTATGTATATTCGAAAATACTAATATCCCGTAACGGGAATATATTTTTATTGTATTAAATCAATAAATGTTCATATATGTTGGTCGTCCCACCAAGTCGTGTACCCGGCCTGCGGGTCGTGTACCCAGTCCAGGCCTAAGTAAGGGCCAGTGTTTTTGAGCCCGACGATCTGTCGGGCTGGGCTCAAACCATGTCTAGTTGTGTTTGTGAGTCTAAGGATTTTCCCCTCACACACTCAAATTGTTCTTTTTTGGCAATTTTTTTTGGATGGATGGGTTGTCAACTTAATTGTATACTAAATTTGCAATGTAGCATATATCTATACATATATAAAGAGAAAACTTATTTACTAAAAATAATAACAAAAAGTCAACCAGCATTTAATGTATTTATTGCCGTGGCGCGCCCTGATCGACAGCCGCGATTTCATCAAACTCCATCTCTGCTTCTCAGCCGAGACCAACTCCAATCGCGCCGCCCTCATAGTGCGATCGAACGAGCTTTTCTTCGTAGATCTGGACTCCTTTAAGCTATTAGACGCCGGAAACATCCGACTCAAGCCTCGGAACGTCCTCTGCTCCTGCAACGGCCTGGTCCTCTTCGTGTCACACTCCGACGAGGTCGCCCTCTGGAATCCCTCCACGAGAAAACTCAACAAACTGCCGCCGCCGCCCGTGTTCAGTCATTGGCAGCCCAGTACGCCCTGGGCTACGACTCGAAGCATGATGACTACAAAGTCGTGCAGGTGGTCCCGGATTCCGAGTGTGAGGAGGGTGTGTTAAATATTACCAATATATACAGCGTCAATTCGAATTCGTGGAAGAACATCGTTGGGTTCCCCTATGGGATAGATCCTCTCCTTTCATGGGGCGTTTATCTGAATGATGCACTGCACACTGGCTTTCGACCCTTGGACTCCCCCTCCTTTCCCGTGATAATGGCATTTGATCTAGCTAAAGAAGCACATTATGATGTCCCAAAGCCGGAGTTTAGCGGCATTTTGTCCGTGGAGGTGCTGGGAGGATGCCTGGCGGCGGTCATCTCTGGGAAGATGAACACTAGCGAGATTTGGGTGATGAAAGAGTACCGGGTGAAGGACTCCTGGGTCAAACTACTCTGCTTTGATCCGCCTGTTGCCCAGCCTTGCCGGGATCTGTACCCGGTGGCATATTCAAAGGACGGTGGTAAGGTTCTGGTAAATTACGAAGGATTTTGTCTCAATTGGTTTGATTTGAAAACAGGAGCCGTTACGATTGCTTGTGTCGATGGTTTGAGTGCTTCTTTCGGTGCTTCGGCTGATGACCGTAGGATAGATGCTTGGGAGTGTGTGAGGAGCCTTGTTTCGCCTTTTGGTCCTGGTGGAGTTGGAGGTGGAAAGAAGAACGGTGTGCAGGGCAAGAAGGGAAAAGAGATCAAAAAGAAGAGGTTAAGTGTTGAAATTTGGTTAATCATTTGTTTGGATTTCAGTTCTGTGGTGAGTTGTTATGATTTTTGTTTCCTTTTGTTTAAGGTTTGCTAATACTTACCTTGTATCTGTTGATCTAGTTCTCATGCAGCTTTGTTTTGCTAATTTGTACCGTCAGTTTTAGGCTACCTTGTCTGAGTTCAAATGGTGATTTTCTATCGACTGGATTCAAGCTAGTGCTCTGAAGGGTGACTGCTTTTTATTTGGGCTTTGTATGTATGCATCAAGCTCTGTCCCTGCTTTGGGTTTTGGCTCGCATATCTCAAGTTCCATCTGCCCTGCTTTTGGTTTTGGCTACTATATATCTAGTTTCGTCTTGCTTTTGATTCCAGGATTCTGTCTTCTGTATATTTAGCTTGCTAGGCTTTTGTATAGCTTAAATCTTCACTTTTAAGTTGTTGGTTTGGATGGTGTTTTGTGATTTAGTTTAACTGTGCTTATAGGTTGAGGGGCTTAGTTTCATTTTACCTTGGTAAGCTTGTAAATCCAAGGCTGTTAATACCCCTTTGGGTTTAGGTTAAAAGAACTTACTGCATAATGTATATAAACTTAACGGTTTTGTTATGAAGCCAACTATTGGCTCTACAGTGGAGCCAACCTTCTATATACAACAAATAAACCTTCTATACCTTCTTTTATAGTGGAGTTCCACTTATTTCATTCTTCCGACCATTACTGCCCAACCTGAGAACGGACAGCTAATGCCTTCCACTTATTGAACAGGGTTCTTATAAAGCGAAAAAAGGTACTGATGTGTTCGGCTACTAGACTCATTTAATAAAAGTGACATAATTCGGCTTTGAGTTCATTTTAGTTAACTAGTCAAACTAGGTTCAATACATTTGAGAGAGTTTTTACATAATTTTTTGAATTCTTAGTTTAGCCCGACTCATTTAAATTCAAGTTCGGCTCTTCAGTTTTGATATGAGTTGAGTTTGAAATTGTTTATCGGCTAGTTTAGTCAACTAATCAAGTTCGGTGAAAAAAATAAATGTTCATCTTTAAATATGTGTGTATATTAGAAAACTCTAAAGTCGATTCCTTTATTATATTAAAACAATAAATGTTCATATATGTTGGCCGGCCCCCAAGTCGTGTACCCGGCCTGTGGGTCGTGTACCCAGCCCAAGCCTAGGTAAGGGCCACTATTTTTGAGCCCGAAGATCTGCCGGGTTGGGCCCGAACTATGTCTAGTTGTGAGTCTAGAATTTTTCCCCTCAACAACAACAACAACAACAACAACATATTCAGTATATTCTCAACTGATTGGGGTCTGGGGGGGTCAGTTGTACGTAGGGCTGTAAACGAGCCGAGCCGCGCTCGAGCTTAAGGTGTTTGAGCTCGAGCTCGAGCTCGAACTCGGCTCGTTAAGTAAACGAGCCAAAAATCAAGCTTGAGCTCGGCTCGTTAAGGCCTCGAGCTCGAGCCTTAACGAGCCGATCTCGAGCTTTAACGAGCCGGACTATAAAAAAATTACATAAATTTCACTTTTCGAGCCTTAACGAGCCTTATCGGCTCGGCTCGTTAACCAAACGAGCTTTAAATGAGCTCAAGCTCGGCTCGTTAAGACTTCGAACTCGAGCCGAACCGAGCCTTAACGAGCCGAGCTCGAGCCGAGCCGAGCCGAGCCAGGCTCGTTTTATTTAACAGCACTAGTTGTACACAGACCTTACCCTTATAATTGTACAAGGAGGCTGTTTCCGTAGCGACCCAAAGTGCATTGCGTCGTTTGATATATTTTTTTTCTAGAAACTTCACTAATAGAAGAAGCACTAGAATTTAATTGAGCCATGTTAATTTAGTCCATACTCTAAAATTGCTTTTTTTGTAATTTTCTTTTTGTACTCGTAAATAGAGATGCAAACAATTCGAGTCGAACATGGACCTTGTCGATCATAGATTTTCTTCACTGCTCGAGCTCGACGAGCCATGAAATTAACGCTCGAGCTCGACTCGTGAAACAAATGGAAATGCTCGAGATCGATTCGAGTTCGGCACGATTTAACAATTATAAATCATGCACCTATGACAATTTTGTGAATTACATTTATATAAAGAGTACTTAAGTATTTCACCGCAAATTTTGAGTCGGTCGACGAGCGGCTTGACCTTCGAAAAATTGGGCTCGAGATCAACTCGATAACGTACTTGAGCCGCTCGGGCTCGACTCGAGTTCAGTCAGATTCGAGCTTGAGTCGGCTTTGATTTGAGGTCTCCCGAGCCGCTTGTGAGCCGCCCGACTCATTTGCGGCCCTAATTCGTAATAATATATGTGAATTGAGTAGCTCCATTCGTGGTCTCAAATGAAACTTATTTGTTTAATAAATTAATCTAGCTCGAGCTATTAAATTATATGTTGAGTTTTAATGATCTCAAGCTGTTCAAATTTATCGAGCCAAAAAGCTTTGCTTCGCTACTCAAACTGCTCAATAGGCTTAAAAATTGAGAAGAAATAAATAAATAAATAAATAAGAAAAAATAAAGCGAATTAATAGCGTGAATAAATATCCGGAAAAACTCTGAAAAACTGAAAACTCACACTTCATTCTCCCCCACAATCCCTGAAAACCCTCTCCATTTCAAAATGTCAGATGTACCGCCGGAGATCATCGCAACCATCCTCTGCCGCCTCCCCGTGAAGTCCCTGCTCCGTTTCCGGTGCGTCTGCTACCCGTGGCGCTCTCTCATCAAACAGCCAGGATTTCATCATGCTTCACCTGCGCAAATCCGCCGAAACCAACTCCTACCGCACCCTCATGGTGGAGCCCGACGAGGAGCTTCTCTACGTCGATTTGGATTCCCTCCAGCGGTTGGAAACCGGCGACGTCCGATTCAACCGTGGATTCGTCGACGGATCTTGCAACGGCCTCATTCTCCTGGTGCTGAACCCCCAATCTATCCTTCTGTGGAACCCTTCCACCAGAAAACAGAACCCGCTGCCGCCGGCCTGCCCGGAGGACACCTCTCGGGTGGTTAGGTACGCCCTGGGCTACGATTCCAAGCACCGCGATTACAAGGTGGTCATGGTGGACCAGACCACCCCTGAATGGGAAGTATTTGAATCCGTGACCAGGGTTTACAGCCTCACAACAAATTCCTGGAAATTGGTGGGGGATTTCCCCTACGCTCTGCCGACGAACGAGCCGTGGGGTTTGTACTTGAATGATTCTCTCCATACTGTCATCCGTCATTGCTTGATTCTTGCATTTGATCTTGCCAGGGAAGAATTCTATGAGTTGCCAAAGCCAGATTATCATGGGTTTTCTCACGGCTTGGTGTTAGTGGAGGAACTGGGCGGGTGTCTTGCGGCTGTTGTGGTCCCGGAGATGAGCATAAGTGAGGTTTGGGTGATGAAAGAGTATGGAGTTAAGGAGTCTTGGTCTAGACTGATCCGCTTTGACATGTGCCAAATAGGGCTCTCTCTGCATATGATTCCATTGGCCTATTCAAAGAGTGGTGATGAGATTCTCTTTAACAACAAGGGGTCGCGCTTTGTTTGGTATAACTTGGGGTCGAAGACTGTACGGGTTGCGGATGTTGAAGGTTTGGGTGATCGGAGTAACAGAAAGAGGTGTGGCCCGTTATTTGATGCTAGGGTTTGTGTTGAGAGCCTTGTTTCGCCTTATGATTCTGGTCTGCTGTGGATTTGGGAAATGGAAAGGCAACGCAAGCGGAAGGCGAAAGGGAGCAGGAGATAAAGAAGAAGAGGTTTATTAGCAGAATACTTGCCTAATTGTCCTTTACTGATTGTCTGTAGTATGGCTAATGTTTCTTCTCAAGCAGAATGTTTGTTCTCATGACTTAAAACAACTATGATTTGCCCTTTTGTTGGTTACTCTATTGTGCTGTATCTTGAACACAATTGTGGATCCTCTTGTCATCATGTGAAACTTGAATTTTCTATTGCTAATATGAGGTTAAGCAATTTGTTGTTTGATTTGAAGCTCGTTTTAGTTAACTAGCCAAACTCGGCTCATTACATTAGAGAGATAGAGTTTTTACATAATTTTTTGAATATTTAGGTTATCCCGACGCATTAAAACTCAAGTTCGGCTTTCCCATTTCTCACATGGAGGTAGTCGGTGCCTTGCCCCTCCGTGTTGAGCTATATCTCTCAACACATAGAGGCAGTCGGCGTACTGCGCCCTCTATAGTGAGCCCCTACCTCTCTTACACGTGGTTTTGGTAAAGGGCCTAACTCGTCTGTGGTCTAAACTCTCCTACGGATATATTTAAAATGTTTGATAGTCCGCCTAAATTAAAAGATCGCAAACA